TTGCGTCTCCGGCGAGGAATGAATTAAACTACTTCCGATTTATGATGCTCACTTCGTTGAAACGAGCGATCTATAAAAGGCCGATGGGCGTTCAACCAGAACAGACTTTACCCATCGCTTTTTAAAATAGGCCCTCAGTCTTCGCCTTAGAGTGGTCGAAACTCGAGTGGTTCATTATGGAAAAGTTGATATGTTCCAACTGCGTGGTGGTATACGGTCATTTTACCGATTAGGTAATCTCATGAAAACCATAGAAGAATTAGTTTAACCAGCATCGTCTCTATACCTCCAGCAGGATACTCGGTCGATTTTCTACTACATTTGAACATTGCTCGCGTAAGAACCACGCTGGTTTTCGTCCTAATCAAGATTGTGTCGAGCGCATTTCGTACGCTTTCCTTCTTCTAATTGTGGATCACAGACATTCCTGTCGTAGACTCACCATTTCCACTTCGATTTAATAGCAGTATTTGACTCAGTCGGCTGCTCTGCTCTTCAACGCTGCTTCTTTTCGAAGGGTTTGCCAGGGAAGTTTCTTTTAACGTGACGATCCTTGTATACCAACAATTGAATCTGGGTCCGGGTTCCAGCTTACCGCACTTTTCGCTCGAGTTCTCAGCGTAAAGCGGTCTTCATCGGGATTACCTCCTCTCCTTTATTCTTCAATTTTGTAATGGTTTTCTTCGTCTAATCAGGTCTGTACTCGTGCGAGGTTAGCGGCATCAATACGCTCCCAAATGGTAAGCTGTCTGATGTGAGATATACAGACAAAATCGTACTGATAAGTGAAAAGTCAAGTTAGTTGCGAGCTTTTCTGGATGGTTTGAGTAGTGGTTTAACTAGACTTAGCATACGTCTTGCACATTCACTGTGCTGCTGCTGGACTGAATGATTCACCTCCCGTCCTCAGTCTAACTGTGAAAGCAATGGATAAAGTCTAAACGTTTTGGATGCATCACGGATGAGATACAGCACGCGCAGTTGACGTTTGCTAACTTGAGATATTTTTTGCGTCGTCGCTACATCCGGCTGTCAGTGAAGGATCAATTATATGCTTCAGCACAGTGATTTGGCCAATACGGATACAGGATAAAGGTAGACTGTAGGTATTTGAACACCAACGATTATCTGTCTTCGACAACCGTTGCTTGCGCAACATTGCTCGCGTATGGTGGGAGCATCACGTGATAAACGATGAGATCAGACGGCGGGTACTAGGATCAGATAGTCTTCCACTGAGGAAAACACTCTCAACGCATTGTCTTAAGTGGCTAGGGCACGTCCTGCGAATTCCTGAAGAACATCCGCCATACCGCACACTATTCGCTGACATCGGTCCAGGCTGGAAGAAACAGTGAGGTGGGCAGACTATGACGTCGCCCAGAAGGTTAAAGAGATTGTGCTCGGATCTGGCTTCCGTTGGAGTTTCTCGGCTCCCCAGCTGGGGCCCCATAGATCCAGATTGTCTTTGGCTGGAGACACTGCAGGATGTGGCATCGAACCGAAGTCAGTGTTGCGAATGCATCGTCTCCTGTGTGCAATCCCCGAAATAAACAAAGAGGAAAAAAACTCAAAATGGTGTGCAGTAAACAAACAAAAGAATTGTTACTCCCCGAAGTTGATTGTTTTATTTTCCCCGCTTTTGTGCCTATATTTTTCGTTAACCCATAGTTATATTTAACGCCGTATCTGTAAAAATTGGGGTTATATATACATATATATAACTTCGATGTTTGGACGGGGTTCAAACCTTGAGTTTCGTAGTCCAAAACCCGTCTATGATGGTGATGTCGGTATTTTGCTTCAACACTAAATCTTCCGGTTGGACAGGCAAGAGAAAGCAAACGAAACTGGCACACGAAAGTGCATGATTAACGGTTGTATAAGTTCAAGTGGACTGTACTTAGTGTCAACCTTAATGCCCAGTGTTTAAGCCTCCGATGCCACTTGTTTTTTTTTTGGTAGAACGAAATTCCTTTTCCGCGTTGTTATCTGAATATCGGGGT